AGTGATGAAGTGAAGATGAAGTGAAGAAGAAGTGAAGATAAAGTGAAAGGCTCTTCCTGGGGTTAATTTTTCATGAACTTCTATTTTCTAATAAACTTGCTGGTGTGATCAGTCGTGCTTTGCGTGCTTGTCAGAGGGAGGGGGGAGGTTCCTGTAGATGCCGGTGCCGGTGTGGGCTGAACTGGGTGGAAGTTGTGGGTGGGGCCTGGGTAAACCGAGCCGAGCCGAGTCGAGCTGTAGGGTCAGAAGACCAACACATGAAGCAGGATGGTGGTGGACCTGGAGAAGGACAGGGACGGAGGAGGAGGGGGGAAGGCTGGCAGCAGGAAAGAAAAGGACCAGGTGGGTTCTGTGTGGGCTCGGTTCTGATCTCTGGTTCCTGGTCTCACGTGTGAGGGAAGGAGAGAAGGGGGAACTTTGGTTCTTCCAATATTTAGATTTTATTTCCTGGTTCATTTTGTGCAGCAGTTAAATTTTAACAAAAAGCAGAAAAAACTAGAGGCTTTATTTCAAGTTCACATATGACTCAACTTCAACCTGTGGCTGAGTGGTTAGAGCAGTGTTCTCCAATGCAAGAGTTGGGGATTCGATTCCTCCAGCAGTCACATGCCGAAGTGTCCCTGGGCAAGACACTGAACCTCATTACCTCCAATGTGTCCCATCAATGTATGAATGCTGTAGAGCTCTGATTATTCTTTGTATAGATCTAGTGGAGTGCTGTATGAATGGATAAATGAGGCACAAATTGTTTTAAAGGGCTTTGAGTATCTTTATAAGATAGAAAAGTGATATATAAGTACAGTTATTAAACTTATGCTCAGGTCTCATCAATATACATGCTCTTTAATATTCATTTAACCTAATAAATTACTATTTCCGATCCATAAAATTATCAATATTACATTAACTCTTTCATATTACACAGTCCCAGCTGGTATTACAGGAAGTACCTGTAAGCTGATCTCTATTAATCTACTGGCTGATTAAGCATTATTTAGGTTGTAAAAGTTCATCAGAACATCCAAAGAAGTAGTGCGAAAACAAAAAATATTAAAGACCTTTTTCATGTGAACGCATATCTTCTGATCATTCTCATTCCAGAGTTTGAATTTAAGATCTCAGTCTTCAGATTGTTGGAGACTGTCTTGCTTGTATGTTACCAAAATATTTCATGAAAGAAATAATGTTGAAAAACGACAGAGTAAAACAGCTGTTTTGGTCAAACCTTGAAAATAATCTCATGTTCAAAATATGCTGTAACTTTTTTATGTTTTTATCTCACAAAAACAATGGATGTAGTTGTAGAGCTGACGAAGTGGATTTGAACTCAACACAACAACAATATTAATCCATCCATCCATTATCTTTACCCGCTTATTCCATTTTGGGTCACGGGGGTCGCTGGTGCCCATGTCCAGCAATCACTGTGCGAGGGGCAGGGTACACCCTGGGGGTCGCAAGTCCATCACAGGGCCACATAGAGACAAACGAGACAAACAACATTCACTCTCTCACTCACACCTAGGGACAATTTAGAGTTACCAATCAGCCTAACATGCATGTTTTTGGTCTGTGGGAGGAAACCGGAGTACCCGGAGAAAACCCACGCATGCACGGAGAGAACATGCAAACTCCACCCAGAAAGGCCCCTGGACCGGGGTTTGAACCAAGGACCTGCTCGCTGAGAGGCAGCAGCTCTACCAGTTGCGCCACCGTGCTGCCCGCAAATGAAATCCTTTTCATTTATTTTCAGCGTCAGGAAACAGTTTTTCTCAGAAACATGGCTACATTGGCTGATGTTAAATCTCTGCACTTACAGGACACCGGTTGTTGAGTTGCTTACTGTTTTTTTCTCTGACCAGTGCTTATTGTTCCTGTCACAGAGCTGCAAAGGGGGATGGAAATACCAAGATGGCGGCACCCACACCTGCCTCCACCCTCATTTGCCCCACTCTGGGCCCTTAAGCAAGGCCCTTAACCCCCTCCATCTGCTCCCCTGGGCACCCTAGATAGCAGCTCTCTGCTCCACACAGAGGGCTGTGGTAGCTCTGTGGTAGCTCAGTGGTCTGTGGTAGAGTCAGGAAGGACATCCGGTGTAAAAACAATTACCAAGTCTTCTGTGAGCTAGTTCACTATGGTTACCCCTGAAGAAGGGAGCAGCTGGAAACAAAGGTTTTAAAATAGGTGATTAGGAGTATCCCTTCCCTGCCGGTCCCCTGACCTCACAGCTCCGGCTCGGCTCAGTTTATCCAGCGGCTCCACCCACAACTTCCACCCGATTCAGCCCACACAGACACCGGCATCAACAAGGAACCACCCCCTCCCAAATGTATGCCGTGTGTAAACCAACCACTCCAATCATTTGAAACTCAAACATCATGCTTTCTAGTCTTTATATTGCTTAAAAGTAAAGTTTCCTTATATGGTTGGGGTGACCAAATATTAATGTACTGTGTCCAAGGCCACCATTGACCACCCCCTGGCTCCACCATTGCTCCTGGCGGTGGATCAAACTGCTCCCTCCATTCACTCAGATAAGAAAAACAACAACAAAACATCCCTCTGTTCTTCTCCACAGTAAAACTCCTACCCACTTGAATAAACATGAAGGTTTACTTGCATTACCTGTTCAAGTCCAGTCCAGAACTGCAAACATTCACTTTTCTAATCCCTCAGCAACAGGGGACATCGACTAACTGCTTGTTTCCTAAAACTGAAAGCATGTGTGCTGAACATAGAGTTTGTGTATACCGATGGTGCTGAAAGGTTGCTAAATGTGTCAGTCTGCTAAAAGTTAATGTTTACTTGACTAGATGTGCTGATCAGAAGAACTGATACATTTACAGCCTCCATACAGTTGGGACATAATGGTCGATGTTCAGCACATGTACTGAGACATTAACAAGAACACTGAGAAATACTGACAAGTTAAACAAACTGTGTTATTCAAAAATGTACAGGTCTAATATTGGCTTATGTAGCTGTCTTTCACTACGATATGTTGTTTCAGAAAAAGGCTTTTGTTTAATCCTGGGGGAAATGTGTATATATATATATATACATACATACATACATACATACATACATACATACATACATACATATATATATATATATATATATATATATATATATATA